ATCTTTAGGCCTCTATCCGCGCTTTCGGGTGCTTTGTGAAAAATATGAAGGCCGTAAATAAAACTTTGTTCCACCCCCTCACCTTATTATTTTAGCTAAGTAAAAAAGTGCTGGGAGGGTAGATAGGCAGTTATTTACTGGGATCAAAATATTCACAAGGAACAGCAGAAAGTAATGAGCAGATTTAGCTATAGTCATTTTTTGTCTGTGTTGGAGTATGGTAATGGATTCCGAAATGAATTTATAACCATTTGTACCGAAATGCGTCGTAAATACGCATCATTTTTTAAGATGTGTTTTTAGGCTAAAACGTATAAGTAGTAAATGGAAAAATAATGAAATACTTTATACGCACTTTTAGTTAATAGTAAAATATAATGAAAGCCCTGGTTCTGTTAAAATAAATGTATAAAAACAGCTGATACAGTCGTTTAAAAAAAACTATCACCAAACGGGCAATCCAATCGAACGAACTAACAAAACCGTATACAAAATAAACAACATTAATTTTAAAACTTATTTCATTCGTCCTATTAATTTCCCACTTCAATTACATTCAATAAAGTGATATAAATCCGACTGGAATTGGCAGAGAACGGAAAAAATGCGCGTCATTTTTTCATCTTAGAGAAAAATGAGGGCGCGATACATTGTAGCATCGTAAAAAGCATTATGACATTAGGCAAATGATCGTATATTAGGTTAAATCCAAGAATGATAAGCATCCGTATATTATAATGTAGCCTGTCTGGTCTGTGTGCATGATACATCGCCTTTTGGTGTGAGCGCTGAGAGAAATAGTACCTAGAGAGAATGTGATGAGTTACAAGATTTTTTATCTACATTGTGGATTTTCTTTTTATTTTGTAGATAAATTGAACACATACTGTTGTATATTGTATACTTTTTTTGCACGCCTATTTGAAGAACACTGGTTTTTTACTTAGTAACATCTCAATAACTTTATAATTCAACATGCCAGTATTGATGTTATTATGAAATAAAAACTATAACACAATCTTTCAAGTACCAACAATAATTCTGCGAAATCATTTAAAAGATTGGAGAGACAAGTATAATAAGTCCAAGTTCAATATTTTTTGTGAAACAATACACACGAATTATTGTCTCGATACTTTGTGAAATGAATTCTAAGAATTATTAGAAGGCAAAAAAACATTCAACTAAAAATTAAATGTCACGTTGACTGTCTGTATCGCCGGCAAGTTCTTATTTAAGAAGACTGGAAAATTTTATTAATCTGAGTTATTTAATAATAGAATGTAATTATTTGACTTAAGACTTATTTCTGAGATATTAAAAATTTGTTACCATTTAGGCTGAGGGCCGTGATTTGAGGCACAGATAAATTACTCTTCTTCCTTTTAAATTCTTAGATGATGTGAGCTTGCCTTCATCACTTATGACTGATTGTTTTTCATGCTGACTGTATTCAGTACTAGCGGTCACTACTTAATTGTTTTTTCATAGAAGCTTATCATTGCAATATGTGTCTATCTATTCCCAGATATAATTTCACAAACCAATATTAAAATGAACATCATGTTTACCGAATAATAAGTACTTACATCCATGCGTAAAGTACGTGTGTCGTGTACCTACGTTTTGTTTCTGTCGACTGAGGATTACGTTTTCCCGGGTTGTTTTCTAGGAAAGGGCTGATGTAAATGGATTTCCAATTTTGGCATTCTTCGTAGCCAGCAGCGTGAAGCCTTAGAGCTCTAATTCGTGCTCGGCAGATGGCAATCGGCTTTCGTCCTTAAGACTTAGGCATAAGGTATTTTGTGCGTAGTTTAAATCACACATGTTTACCCAGAATTCCCAAAAATACGTGTGTTGGTAACTTATAATTGTATTGTATTTATTATGTTACAAACTTGAGTGGTAGTTTAGTATGATGTTTATCATTGGAACTGTCAATCAGGTTTCGAAATTAACCCTAATAGACTCGAGGTAATTAGTTACAAGTCATAAGCTTGTACGAGTATAACACACAGGATCGGAATGCGGCTCATCTATGATAAACCGTGCATTCATTGGATAAAAAGAAGAAAAAAATCTTCCTAACTGACTTTTTTCTTCCTTTGCCTGCTGTTTGACGCTATAAAACAATGACGTTACAATACACAATCTCACATAAAATCCATAAAAAACTGTCGTTTTTTCACAGTTCGAAAAAAGTATTGAGTTTGACTAGTTCACACATACCCACCGAAATATGAAATCTATGCACATACCCAATCATCATACACGCCATATTATGTCTACTGCTGAACATACGCCTCCTTCAAGTAGTTAATTAAGCGTCCACCTTATCCCAAGTTATCTAGGTACAACATGTATTGTATTGTCTTAATTTTTCATTCTCCCCTATCTCTTTCATATCATTCCATTCTTCGTACAATTGTGATGATGTCAGGGTATGATATTTAAAAATATAATTAGTCCGTAATAAATGAAAAAATATTAGACATGTATTTTTTTATTTTGTCGTACAATAAAACAATACTTAGATAAAATGAATCAAAGTTTAGGAGTGGGGGCTAAAACGTCATTTCTACTTATAAAATGTACATAGAAATGACGTCACGCGACATTTCAAATCAATTTATCATCGAAAGTATTCTTTTGACGTTTGATTCGTTTGACTGCCTCGTTGGCCGAGTGGTCGCAAGTGCGGATGCCGGGCAAGAGGTCTCGGGTTCGATTCCCGGGTCGGGCAAAGTATTACTGGGTTGTTTTAAAAATTCTCAGTAATAGCACGGAGTCTTGGAAATGTGCCCGGTATATGGCAATAGGCTCACCCCCTATTACATGGGACTCATAACATAAATAGTGAAAAGTGGGTGTTACATTGTACAGTGGCATAATGTGCACCTCTGCCTACCCCTTCGGGGATAAAAGGCGTGATGTTATGTTATGTTATGTTATG